ATTGGTAGGAATACCTTCCAACGCTAAAATTAAATTGGGGGTATCAGTCTCTTGAACACATGCCAACAAGCGGATATCTATTCAATATGCTTGTAGCAAAAAAATTCAATCAATATTTAGAGACTATTAAACTCAACTATACAGGTTCGAAGAGACAAACACAGACATGCAAGACAATAAATTAAGTTTATTAAACACTTACATTACAGCGATAAAATAAATTAACATTGCACCACGGTACCCCCCTTCAGTCAGTCGGACATAACCAAAACCATACTCAAATTAAACGCAAACAAATCACCAGGAGTGGACGGCCTGACTAGTGAATTTTATAAAGCCTTTTCAGCCGTCCTAACCCCCCCCCCCCCTTCATTTAGCTACCATTAGAGAAATGTTTCTGCTAGAACAATGCCACGAAAACTTCAATAGATCATACATAACAATAATACGCAATAAGCGTGAAGGGTGTAAGGTTGGTATGTTCAGGATAGTGGGCTGAGTAGTGTTTATGTTTATTTGAATGTTTAGTACCGACAGGTTAGGGGTGGGTAGGCGTGTAGCTATCACGCGATGTGGTAATACAGTGGAGTTTTAAAGTTCAAAAATTGGTTAACAGTGTTGTCATATACGAATTCAAATAAGGCCATACATTTCATTAAAGGTAACCAAAAACCTTTGTAAGTATCAATTTACAGATAATAAAAAGAATACAAAAAGAGATAACCAACCTGACACTGTATATGGGACAGTGCTATCAGTTGTTTTAGTTTAATTAGTTAAACGTGTGATCATGGAAAATCTTTGTCTTGTGTGTTGTAGAATAGAAACATTGTGCTGGAGTCTCCATTTGTCTTGTTAGCAATTCGAGGTTATGGCCAGAACAAAATACTCATAATCAGTGGAAAGTTAATATTGATTTGCTGATAGACATTTACTCAGTGCCGACAAAAAATGACTTGAACTTTCACACAAGAACATATCGCAATACCTTTTTTTTTACTTTCTCGTATATACGTAGTATAGAGAAAGTATTGTAATCGTGCAAAAAAAAAAAATCGAGATTTTTACAAATCTCGACGTTTTACACCTCACTGATACGGAAAAACATAATTTTGCAATCTTGTCCGTGTGTGTGTGTGTGTGTGTGTGTGTGTAAAAACGATTACTTGAGCACCGTTACAGCTAGGTTGATGAAATTTCATATATACGTATTTTATCAAAATCGTAGATCCGTATCAACTTTTGAGCGATTTCCGATAACCGGAAGTGGTACTTTTTCTACTTTGAATTCTTCAAAAGCCTATAACTTGAGTACTATTTCAGATAGATAAATGAAATTTCACATGTAAGTAAAAGATCTAATTCTCTACCTTCTTCAAATTTTGAGTAATTTCCGTTGACGGGAAGTACTAATTTACGCTATTTCCGATTTCTCTAAAACGCATCTAAATTTATAAAGTACTAATAATATTGCGCACCATTATGGACATCTTTATTCGGCGTTCACTTGGTGTGCAATACTTTTTTCAATGAGAATCTATTTTATTTTAAAAAGTTTATGTATTTAAAATGGATTAAAAATCATAACTATATCCCGAGTTCCCATTCCCTGTTGTTTTATATAAGAATATTCGAGAAAATTTAGGGGAGATCACTCCCGGTTTATTTTCTATTGCAGATGAATATGATGAAACAATCAACCGATTCTAACAAATGACATTTAAGAATTAATTGTGTGAAAAGACTTTAGCACTCAATTGAGTGGGACAATGTTCACAAAACGAGTTAAAACAACTTTACACCCCAATGGTCAAATATACCTGTATGCTGGACGAACTGTTCTTCGATGTCAAATCATTATGAAATCTGATATTTCCTTAATGGAATCATCATGCCTACTGTGAAAACACCTGAAAAAAAGACGTTTTAAAGTTTAATAATCTTTATATTAGAAGTTTAATATTGTGTGTAAATTATGTAAACATATTTATAAAACAAGTTCAAAAGGAAAAAATAATAAACAAATAAGTGAAAAATAAATTCGTCAGGACAAGCCGACCAAAAGACCAAAGAGGAATGGGAAAATGTATGTGTCAATATTATATCAGATTTAAAATTTTAAAAACATTTCGAATCAAGTCTACATCAATATGGGTTAATTTCGTCTAATAATAGTTTGTTTAAAAATAAAATAAAACATTTGTAAATTAAACCTAATGCATTAGAGAATAATGATGCCCTGTGCGGGGACGCCACAAAATGAGGACTTCATCTTCAAATAGGTTTATTTCGAAAACTATATATATATATATATATATATATATATATATATATATATATATATATATATATATATATATATATATATATATATATATATAGACCTATTTACTTCTAAGTACGTGTATACGCACGTGTACATGCATTTAAATGTTTTTTGGAGCTACACATTTTAGGGCAGAATTTCTTATTTTTATGTATAGGAAAATAAGTAACATAACGACCAAATATTTTTTACAACGTTTGTATCCACTAGTAGCTGTTTATCTCTTTATTATCATTTTACATATATATATATATATATATATATATATATATATATATATATATATATATATATATATATATATATATATATATATATAAATATAAGCGTTTATATATATATATATATATATATATATATATATATATATATATATATATATATATATATATATATATATATATATATGGTGTCACAGCCCCCCCCCCCCTCACCCACTCTTCTCGGGATTTGTCAACTTGGCTCTTAGAAGACAATTTAAAACTAATTAATCATTCATTTAACTGGAACGATCATTGTTTTTATCTATTTTTTTGCCTTGGTGTCATCCCCTAAATGGTGTCACCAAATGCGGTCCGCACCCCCGTCCCCCACCTCTCGCGACGCCTCTGGGACCTTCTAATTGACCTTCAGCACAGAAGAGCAAGTCGATATATTATGCTAAAATACGTTTTTGATTATTAACACGACGTAATATTTATTTTTAAATATTTTACAGGTGTCGAGAGGTAAGTCAAATTTAATATAACTTTCAAACAAATTTTTCGGCAGTAGGCTACTTTTATCGGATAAACCAAGGATTACAGTAGACGTATTCAGAGGCGTAGCGACCCTTCCCGGCGCCCGGGGACATACTTTCAATTTAGCGCCCCCCTCGGGAGCAAATTTTCGATTTGCACCCACCCCTCGAACTTTTCATTTGCACCCCCCCCCTCAAACTTTCGATTTGCACCCCCCCCCCCCCTCGAACTTTTCATTTGCACCCCCCCCCCTCAAACTTTCAATTTGGCGCCCCCCCTAAGGTCGGCGCCCGGGGACATATGTCCCCCCCCCCCCCGCCCCCCCCCCCTCGCTACGCCTCTGGACGTATTGACGGGCTGAAAATCGGAACTCCACTAAACTATTATGGGATCTTTAAAAATTACGCAATAGTTGTTTACAAGATTTTTATTTCATTTACACAAATAACTAGTAACTCTTTACACTGCGAATCGTATTACTTTTATAACGACAACGTAAAATAGTACAATTAAAGTACCAGATGTTGTGAGAATAGCAAGTTTGTCATCGAAATAACGCAGCGATAACTTTATTAACTTTACGGTGTTACAAGGTCTCATTTAACTTGATTCCTCTGTTTTTTCTGTCGTCATAGATCGAAACGGGCCATCGAAACTTCGGGCACTTCTAATTTTTATACGTTTTTTTCTTAACTTCAAAATGTCTTTTTTTTCTCTGTTTGTGGATTGTTGCTAATCTTGCAATTTATTTTTAACCCACTTCTAATGCAACGATTACGATCCTTTTTCTTGTACGTTTCTGTTTGAAAACAATGCACTGATATCTAATTTTTAATCTAACTATATAGTTATTAAATCATTAAATTTTAGTTTTTAATGTTTCTATGTTTATTCACAAAATGAGAGATAAAACTGATAATCTCACGCAATTACTTGATCAGCCTGTTTTAACACAGATAATTTTAGTTGAACCCTATGTGATATCAAATTTATTCAGTGCAAATTTCTAAAATGTGTACAATAAATCAAATATAAAAACTTTTATAAAAATAAGCTTTTAAATGCAGTGAAAATTATTTTTTTAAAAACTCGCTTTCTTTGGTAAAAGCTTTAGTCGCTGAGTAGATCTCTTTAATATTTTAGCGTTAGAACAGCAGCTTTAATTTTTTTATTGCATTTAAAATATTATTAATATAGATGTTTTTTAATTTATTTTAGACTAGGGTTGGGGCTTTCTGTCAGTGCATTGGTCTTCTCCACGGTCGTCCTTGTGGTTGTGATCGTGATTAACAACAGTTTAGATGAAGAGAACTCGGGAAACGTAAGGAGAGTTTTGACCTCAATGTTTATTTTCATAGCAATTAATTGCTGTTTAAGAAACATTGATTTTTCAAAAATTTATTCAAAATGTTAGGATAGTGTTTATGTTTTAGTGTTCGTACGTGTGTACGAGTCTGTGCTTGTGTGTGCGTGTGTGACTATAAATTTAGTTTAACTATGTATGTTATACAATGATTTTTTTTAAATCCTAATAAACAGCATACAAATGGAACCAACTCTGGTGAGCAAACGTTTGTAAATTTGTGATGTATCCCTGACTCGTTGATTTACTATAAAACTATTTAGTGACAACCTATTTCGTAACATCAAATAGAAGTTATACGTGTATGTGGCTCAAGATAATTTTACAAAAGTAAATGTATATCAATTGACATTGAGCGTAGTGCAGCCGGCTACAAGGATTACGTTTAATGAGTTATATTAAAAAAAATATAAATCTAGTTCCATTTAATAACAAACTTTGACATTTCAACTTGCCAAAAATGGAAACACAAATGTTATTTGCTCCAGAATAAAATATGAATAGTTAAGACGGAGTTTATGTTTTTTTTTCAATGCTAATTGCAAATGTTTTCATTTGTATCGAAGACAGCGTCAACGTAGAGCAAAACTCCGAATATTGCCAAAATGTATCGTCAAAGCAAGCGATGGCGCATAGAAAGTTGTATCTTTCTGCTGAAGTAACTTCCGGTGGTAAGTTCCGCAATACGATAAAATGTTAAAAGTAACCGAATATTTTTATCTGTACAGGTGGCTTCAATTATATATATATATATATATATATATATATATATATATATATATATATATATATATATATATATATATATATATATATATATATATATATATATATATATATATAAAATATTATATATATATATAATGTATAAGTGTGTTCTGATATTATAATTATCTCTCTAGATGTAAAGTGTGTTCTGATATTATAATTATCTCTCTAGATGTAAAGCTGAGCTTAAACGCAGAGTCTCAAGATAACACATGGGAGCTAACTCAAAATGTTGACGTCACCGCAAATGGGCTCATAATTTGTCAAACAGGTCGATACCACAAAGAGCTACGTTCAGATATAGATTTGGAAGACGTGGTTGGGAGATAGAGCGCTCGACTGCTGACCCGAAAGTCTCGGGTTTGCGTATGACGTATCTGAGCCTACCCAGCTCTGATGGGTACCTAACTTAAGTTAGGGAAAGTAAACGCGTCTTGGCATAGTGCTAACCACACTATAGCTTCATGTGGTTAAATAAACAGATTCACTTCAATTCATCTGCCTATTAACCGGCAGGTTGGGAATGGTAAACCTTTTCAGATAGTATATCTAAAATGATAAAATTATCCTATCAAACTTTTTTTTTCATTTATAGCTTTGAACTTATATTTCATTAGTAACATGATTGTTAATTTTAATTGTTTTCTTATAAATTAGGAATGTACTACGTGTATAACAGTGTACAATTCAGAACTAAGGAATATGTAAAGAAACAGGTAAACATTAATGATAACAACCACATGTAAAAATTCGTTAATTATTTCCATTGCAATTTTTATTAGACATTTAAAACTGATAAGGTTAGGGTCAAGTATATTGTGATATGCTAAGGTATACGCCAAAATCTCGTGTGTGTCACATCACATGTGTGTTTCCCTGTTCAATAGACTGTGTACTTCTACATGCGTCAAACAAATAAACAACACACCAGTCATGTGCTGTTAAGAAATCTTCATACTGTAGCTGAGAATCTTTCAGTGGATAGAGAAACTGGTTTTTCAGGTAAATTCTTAAGTTCTTCAAATTACAACCGCCATACTATACATACAATAAACATGCATATGTATAAAAATCTATAAATGTATAGATAAATATAGCCTATATATACGTAGCCTATATATATCCTATAAATAGCTTACAAATAGCCTATTTAAAGCATTATATATATATATATATATATATATATATATATATATATATATATATATATATATATATATATATATATATATATATATAAATATATATATAAATATATATATATATATATATATATATATATATATATATATATATATATATATATATATAGTCTTTTAATTTTAAGTAAGCAATTTTATGCCACAATGTAATTTCATATCTTTATTCGTCAGCGCTACCTGTACATCATCTAAACACACACACACATATATATATATATATATATATATATATATATATATATATATATATATATAGGCTACATTTAAGCTGTATAACGTATCTAAAGTAATAAACTAATACCATTTGTTTTGAAATACTATTTTAAAAAAATGTGCAGGAAAATCCGTTTGTTGAATTGGAATATTGAAAAATAGTTTTAAAAATTACCCGAATACCTTGCAGCACTTCGTTACAAACAAGCACTACTTTCGTGTACACAAACTGTATAAACTTTATTCAACTTAGTTGCTATTCTCAGTGAAATAAAAGCTTTATGTGAATAACAAATTACGCAACAAGATATAACATGATTAAGAGAGCTGTAGAAATATAAATCTTGGTGTGGTCTACTTTGCTTAATTCTAAAACGTGTGCTGAGCTATTTATGCACTCTATACGAGTAACAGAAACAAATTAAGGAAAGGACAAAATAAAACAACACTTGCTACATTGTTAACTTGATTTGTTTCGTTATATTTTCAGGCGGTGTTTTCCATCTGGATGAAGGCGATGTGATTGAAGTCTTTGTCTCTGGACAAGGCCTGGTTGAGACTGGCAGAAATACAACCTACATAGGGCTAGTTAGATTAGTGCATTAAGGTAGACGATCAGTAGACAGTTGGACTTATTACAGTAGATTGGTTAACAGACGACAGACGACAGGCTAGCTGGACTTATTATATTAGTTTTGTTAACAGACGACAGTCTAGCTGGACTTTTTTTTATTAGTTTTGTTAACAGACGACACTCACATTGGACCTAGATTCGTTTTAGAAAAGAGTTTGGAAAAAAAAACGGCGAAGAGAACGTACAATGCACAAATTATTATATTTTGCTTTATCATTAAAAAAATGTTAAAGTACTTCTTTACTACTAATTACAAAAATGTTTTTAATAGTATATCCTGTGTAGCTAATACGTAGATAGTCTTCAAATATATTTTTTACTAAAACTGCGTCATGATATAGGCCTACTGTAATTAATATGTATTGAACTACGATACAATTTTTAATCAAAGCTAGAAAAAAGCTTTCTATTTTATTTTTACTTCTTTGAGGGCGGGTTTGTAGGATATGTTTGGCAAAAATACATTTTTTTAAATGAACTAAAGTTGTCGAATTCGATGCGAAGTTTAAACTGTAGGGCCTTAATAATTTATCCCAATCAAACAGTTGATGATACCAGTTATGTTATTCTTTTGATTCTTTCTAGATGTAAATTAACATAAAATGTTTTTTATAATATATTTCAAAACTAAACCTGAACGGATGTTGAGAAAAATAAACTCTTTCTTTAATTTTAACGCTGCAGCTTATTATATGTCGATTTAATAAATATGAGAAAATTATGGTCTATAAAAAAATATTAGAATGGTCCTAATTAATGAAATGATAGCTAAGTAAACTATTCTTGCACTACGTCAAAGAACATATCGGGTAGGTGTATGTCTATCTAATATATAAAGCTCAATTCTGTATGTAAATATAAATATGTTTGTCGTTGACATACTTTGATGGATTAAAGTATTAGATAATTACAGTCCTTATGGTCTAAATTTATAAGTTAAAAAATTAATATTGAAAGTTTTGGGAAATAATTTTCATTTATCAAACTGAAAGTAATAATTTTTGGCATGTTCATTAAATACAAGTTTTAAAAAAATATCATCTTTTACAAAAATTCTAATTATGTCTTTATTTAGTCCTATAGCACTTACTTCCCTTTGATAAATTAGGAAAACACAATTACTTCCCTTTATAAAACCATTGCATTAGTGGAAAAGAATTTACTTTTTATTACTTTGTTTTGGTGTTGGGAAAAAAATAATTACATAATTAGCGGGGATTGATCAAGTGCAAATGTTGTAGGTATTTTACGGATAAGCTTGGAGTATTAAAATTGTTCATTAAATTGAAACAGGCGCGTTCGTTTAAGTGAGTGCAAAAGACTATTAATAAGTCGGGGTACTATAGTCGTTTATTAAGCTAAAACAGGCGATTCCGTTGGGTTTGCGTTAGTGGTTGCGGTTTGATTTGGTTCGTTTTTGTTCTTTCTTTTTTCGTTTTTGTTTGTGTTTTTTTTTCTTTGGGTTTGTATTTGTGTTTTTGGTTGGTTTTGCGTTTGGATTTGGTTTGTTTTCGTTTGCTTTTTCGTTTTTTGTGTGTTGTTATTGGTTGGTATTGGTGTTTGTAGTTGTGGTTGGGTTTGTTGTTAGGTTTTTGTTTTCGTTTGCTTTTTGTTTGTTTTTTCTTTGTGTTTGTATTGGTGTTTGTGGTTGTGGTTGGGTTTGTTGTTAGGTTTTTGTTTTCGTTTGTATTTGTAATTGTGTTAGCGTTATGTTTGCGTTTTGTTGTTTTGGTTTTGGTTGGTTGTGGTTTGGGTGGGCAATGCAGGGTTTATGATGATTACTAAACACACAGGTGACGGTCTTTAACACAAAGGTTTTTCACAGAAGCCAGAGGCAGGGCCTGGCCGGGTCGGCTAGTAGAAATATATATAGCATCAAATTAAAGTACGAATTCAATGTCGTAGGATTGGAAATTCCAGAACTTTAAAATATTTGGAATGATGCCATAATAATTCAGCTAAATCTAAACATTACTAATCCCTTAGATTTTAAATGGTTGCTTATTTTTTTAGAAATAGACCTATTACGTCATACCTACCAGATAGTTTTTGTAGAAAATGTTTATGATATAAAATTTTGATGATCTAATATCTAATTTAAAATATCATTTTTTTACATTAAGTTAGTTCGTTTGAAAAATGTTCAGATATTAATTTGACATTAGCAATAGTAACATTGTGTCAAAACAGCTGGAATAATTGTTTTGTAACTAGCTCTTCTCTCTCTTATAAACCAGAGCTTCTTTCATCCATCTGTCTGTGGATCACTGCCCCTCCCCCACAACTGAAGTAAATCACACACCCCCCCCCACTCCGCTTAATCCCCATCGTGACGAAACGTCAAGTGCTTCACTGTAAAAAATGTCCAAAAGAAACTCTGTTTTAAAACGGGCTGCTAAAACGGAATTATTCCATCTCGTAAAATCTTTTTTAAATCCAAGATGTAGATGACTTAACAGTACAGAGAAACATCAGTGTAAATAAACATTCCTATCACTACAAACCCAAAACTATATTTGGGATCACATGAAATTGCATGTTTTGACACTGTTGACTTTGTTGTTGAACGCTGGTTATCTAGAGTTCGGATTTTCCTCTTCGTATATGAATCTCACTTGGGGGTAAACCATAAATGACGTCATGCTTTTTTTGACGATTTTTACCTCCCCCCTCCCCTCTGTCAAACATCGTCATAAAAAGCCAGACCCCCACCCCTAAAATTACGTCAAACCCCAGCCTACAACCCCCCCCCCTCAGAATTGCAGTTGAATTTTTCTTAAAAGATCGATACTTTTCCAAAATCTTGTCTGAACTCTGTCTATAAAGAGTGTCTTAATTAATTCTTATTACAATTTATCAAAACAGTTTTCTAAAACCCAAAATAACGTATAAAATTAGTTTTCTTACATAGCTTTTTTATAATGCAAAAGTGTGACGTCGCACCATCAGAACCCACCCCCCCCCTCCCCTCCTCACACACCATCACAAAATTACGGACCCCACCCCCTCCCCTTTACGAGTGTGACGTCATTTATGGACGAGCCCTTGTGATTTAAATGTTTTATCTGTTATCTAATAAAGCTGACATTTCGTACACTTTTATGTTATTAGTAGGCTGATGTTTATTTAACGCAAAAAATAAAATGTATTTTATGATAGTGATCATGAAAAAGAACGGTAGAAGCAGTGGCGTAGCCAGGATCGTCTCAAGGGGGGGGGGGGGGGGGGTTCCAATTTTTACCCGGGGACAAACTTTCGATTTGCACCCCCCTCAAACTTTCGATTTGCACCCCCCCCCCCCCCCATCAAACTTTCGATTTGCACCCCCCTCATACTTTTTATATATACCGAGGGGTCTATGGGGGGGTTATGACCCCCCCCCAACCCCCCCCCCCCTGCCTAAGCCACTGGGTAGAAGAAGAGGCATAGGCCGCTAGTATTACGTGGGCACAGGTAAAGGGGGCAGCAGAAAACCAAGTCCAATGGAGAGGTGTAATTGCAGCCTTTTGCTCTTCAGGGGCCACAAACAGAGGCGTAGCGACGGGGGGGGGGGGTACATATGTCCCCGGGCGCCGATCCTAGGGGCGCCAAAATAAGCTAATTTTAGCTGCTAGTTTGAATTATAAATATAAAAAAATATATGGGGGGGGGGGGGCGAAAAATTTAAAATTTGTCCCGGGAAGGGTCGCTACGCCTCTGGCCACAAGGGATAAATGATGATCATGCATTTATAACGCACAATGGTATATAATATTAATATAATATTGTGATGATGAACAAATTTAACTTCAGTTTCCTCTGTTTTAAATTTAAACCATTAGTAGAATGTTGAATGTGTCAGTAGATCTACTGATTAAAGTATACATTTTGCATATAAATTTTTATTTCGTTTGGGAGGGAGGGGGTGGGTTAAACGTGTTTCAGGGAGCGATGCCTTGGAAGCTGGGATGTAGCTACCACTTTTGGCGCCTGGGACGAAAACTAAATATTGCGCCACCCACCATTATATATAGCAATTTACTTTGGCGAAAAAGCAACCTCCCCCCTCCACTACCCCCCCCCCCCCTCCCGCCATATTTAGGAATATCGGGGATGCTTTTTATCAATTTTCTCTATTGGGGTCGGTGCGGTCGAGTCGGTAAAGCTCATGGCTGCTAAACCAAAAAGTTTGAACCCTCGGTCAGATGAGGCTCGTCAGCTAGGGACAGCCACTCTTCTAGGAGAGACAACTCCAAAATCAAACAACTGCTGCTTTGTAGTTAGTTCTTGGTTGGACAAAGGCTATGTAAGCAAATCCAAAAAGAGAAGAAGGCTGAAATAGGAGTCAATGGCCTCAAGGTAAACTTAATTGTGTTGGAGGGTATAATAGATTGACGACAGAAGCCTGTGGTTTGTATATAACACATTTATTGGGTCTAACTACATCAGGATGGTAACACACAGAGAGGACGGGAGGAAGTACACAAGGGACATCACTCAAGATAACAATATTATAAATATAACTAATACAGAAGAGTGAGTTCCCTTGACCTCACAATTATTTCAATCTATTACATCCCTTTACCCTTAGAACACAATAACACATCTCTCAATAGAACAATTGATAGTATCCTAAAATCACCAATTATATTGTAACATGAACACTATGGTAGATTACATCCTTACAAACAATGCACAATATGCTACAACATAATCAAAATACAAAACAATAATGTCAAAGTCCTTTTGACCTTTAGAATCATAGGTCTAACTTATTTGGGACTTTGATTGTCCTGCTTGACCTTCTCAGTGGCTTCTGATTTGGTGACTCAAGATTCTGACCATCTGGATTCTCTATCTCAGGAGGTCTAGGATTTAAATCATTAACTCCAGAATTTACATTTTCTGACTCCAGACAACTTGGTTCACTCATATCAACAGAACTTGGTTGTGGAACAAACTGAGTTGGTGTGAACTGATCAGACTTGGTGGGATTGACAGATTCACACTTATTATCTGCACAAGTTATTTTTAACTGGTCTGCATGTCTACGGACAATAAGTCCATCATTTGTTTTTACTTTATAAGACACAGGTCCTGTACATTGAACAATTTGACCTGGTATCCATTTTTCCTTTCTCCCATAGTTTCTTAGATATACATTATCATTAACTGCAAATTCTCTTTCAATGGATGATTTGTCATGATTTACTTTTTGTGTATGTTGATGTTGGGATACAGACCTTTCAACAGTTGGATGTAGTAGGTCAAGATGAGTTTTAATTTTCCTACCACATAGCAATTCACATGGTGCAACACCTGTTGTTATATGAGGAGTTGTGCGGTATTTGGTTAAGAACCTGTTTACTCTTTCTCTAAGAGAAAACTTGTTACCGGTATTCATTTTTACCATAGCGGTTTTGAATATGCCTACCGCTCTTTCAGCTAAACCATTCCCAGCAGGATGATAGGGGGATGTGGTTATATGCTCAATACCATTTGCCACACAAAACAGTTTAAACTCATGAGCTGTGAAACTAGGCCCATTATCTGAAACAATTTGATCTGGTAATCCATGAGTTGAAAATATTTCCTTCAGTTCTATAATGGTATCATTTGCAGTGATTGTGTTCATGATTTTAACTTCTAACCATTTAGAATGTGAATCAATAACAATTAAGAACATTTTGTTCATGAAAGGTCCTGCGAAATCTATATGTATACGTTTC